ACGTTTTACCCGTTACACGGTAGTTAGGCGGTCGCCGGACGATAAATAAAGCCCTGAGTTCCGCCGGTCTAAGCACCGGAGATGTTTTGTGACAGCCGGCCAGTCACAATACGATCATTAGGCTATTTTCCAGAGTGTAGCACCCCGGTACGCAATATCTCTGCCGCGGCCGCGTATTTGTCCCGTCTGGCAACAAGATTTCTGCGCGCCGGTATTCTACTAAGTTGTAGGTAGTCGCCGTACTAGGTAAGTACAAATCCCGCCGTATACCTCCCGGAGAATTTGTAGTCCGAACGGCGGCTATAACCGAGGCCATAACTTAAGCGGAATACCGCCGTTGATTCCAGTCCTCTGGCCGGAATTCCCTCTCTCCGCCCCCCGTCCCGACGGCGCGTCCACGTTCGCGGCCGGCGCAATTGTGGATATCAACGGCGACATGACGTCCTTTCATGTTGATGCCCCGCCGTCCCGGACGGGGCCGGGCTTGTAAATGAAAGCGTGTCGCGATCGGCCCGTCGAACGGTAAGCGATTAATTCACGTTCAACTTAATAAATATCGGAGACATAACCTAGACCCGATTCGAACCCGACTGAACTCCGGCCACGTCGAGATTGTTGTTCTTCCGGCGGACGCGACGAATATCGTGGATCCAACGCAACGGAAAGTCTAACCTAAGTTCTAACCTAATACACGCCAATGTCAGATCTAACCTAAGTTGAGCATAACAGAAGTCGAAGCTAGCCCGAGCTGGCAATCTAAGTTCGAGTTAACCCAAGTTAGTAATCTAAGTTTATCCTAACGTAAATTGTACCTTTAATTTGTTTAGATAGTTGTTCAGTTGAACAGAACGTATCTCGTGGACCACTCATAACATAAACTCGGATGTAACGCGCAGTTAGGTCGGATCTGATATACGTCACTGCGCAGCGAGACATAACCAGATTCGAACCCGACCGAGCTCAAGCCACGTCGAGATTGTCGCTGCGATTTGTTTAAACAGTTCTTCCGATAAATATTGTGGATCTAACGCAACGGAAAGTTAGGTCTAATATGCGCCGATATCAGATCTAGCCTAAGTCGGACGTAACAGAAGTCGGAGCTAGCCTGAGTTGGCAATCTAAGTTCGAGTTAACTTAAGTTAGTAATCTAAGTCTACCCTAACCTAAATTGTACCTTTAATTTGTTTAGATGGTTGTTCAGTTGAACATAACGTATCTCGTGGACCATTCATAACATAAGCTAGGATGTAACGCGCAGTTAAGTCGGACCTGATATGAGACACTGCTGAACCAAACATAACCTAAGAGAAGCCCGACTGAAATTAATTGCAGCTTAAATCGAATGTAACTCACCGGTTCAAATTCAGGGGGAAATCTCCCGCTTCTAATTTCTAAAAATTGAAAACGATCTCTTAATTTTATCAAGATTTGCAAGAGGCACGAATGTTGAAGAAGTAATCGATACTATATAAGTTTGCTCTGCAATTTTTTATAATTGAATGAATTCTAATAATTCTATTCAATTTTATGAAATTTTTTAGGTTTTTGGCTCGGTCCAAAATGCGTTCTTTTTTGTATTCTTGTTTGTCTAAAAAAGAACAATGAAAATACTTAATCAGGATGCGTTTTGCTATCACAAGAATCACGAAGGAAAAGATTGATAACTAAAAAAAATGGCAGTATTTTGATGTGGCGCGGTCTATAGGGACCGAATATACGATCAAATATTTTGTCAAAATAAATAACGACCAAATGAAAAGCGATACTTTTTATTACTTCAAACTTAATTAATTTAACTCCCCGGTGCGAAGGAAAAAGTCCCCATTGCGGAACACATTATTATGTAATTTTATATATTATATTAATTATTACATAACTATATTGTATAATTATCGGGCGTATGTCGTGCCCCCACGTGATATTATACATGGTGGCTGTGTATCCGACACCCGATAAGGGTTAATTCCCTGGTCAACAGTTCAAGCCTTATCTCGCGACGGTAAAAATCTCGGAGAAATAGTAACAGCTCAGATTGAGAAACGTGAAAGAAACGGCGGTTTTACTTTTCTTGTAATTCTAGCCGTGTGCAGCGGAGATCACTTCGCTCCTCGTCCGAGCGAAGTAGTGGGGGAACGAGTCAACCGTGGCTCGGCAGCCGGCGGTTGGTCGGGCCTAAACCAAATACAACGGAGGGATTCGTATTCCTGGCGGGTCCCTGGGCAAGCAGGGATCGATGTGTGCGAGTGTGTGTTTTACAAGACCCGCTGCGGATTAAGTAAACGCATGCCGCATGCGCCAAGTTCTCGGGCAACGGTCGCAAAAAGCCCCGTGGAAACAAAGTCGCTTATGGTAGCGCCGATAAGAAACTCGTACTTGCCGGTGGCGTGCCGCTCGCATCGCGGCCACGTGTCTTCCGATTGATGCTATTTATCGATAGAAGAAACTGGAGCACGATGCATTTAACCGGGGAACAAGAAGCCTAACTGCCCCGGTCGGTAAACAGGCTGCCCCCCCCCCCTGTCCCGTTCCAACCGGCCGTACAAATGATAACGCCGTGAAAATAAGTACTCCGCGGGAGACTTCGATGTTTCTGGGAGGGGAACAGGAAAAAAAGGGGAGCTTGCGTTTGATAGTTCGCTTCGCATCGAAGATTCAGAGACGATGTTCTTACCGGCCCCGCGGTCGTTTCCCGTCGCAGAGATTTCTAGGGGAGCAAGAAATTCGATTGGAAGATCGTTAGGGAGACGTCGACGACTTCTGTGATACACTGGAAGATTTATTCGCGGAGTTTAGAGTGTAACGAAAGCGCAACTTTGGCGAGATCAAGGCAAACGAATATGAACGTAAATGACATATGACATAACCTTGTCACGTCGCGGTGCTAACTGCCGCTTTATATTACAACGAAATCTGGTGCGATGTTTCGGTGACTTGCCGCTGCGTGTCACCACCTGTGACTTTGTTCCATTCGCTTATTAGCAGAGGACGCTAGACGAAATAATTCAGCGTGAAGGCTAGGATGAATGGATTTGTACAAAATCGGGTGAACAGATTCAGGAGGTACGTTAAAGACAATGGAAGAAGATGGAGCATTTTGGTTGATCAGCCCAGGTTTAACATAAACTCGGACCCAACTTAAACATATAAATTTAAAAAATGGATCTACAGTTTTTCCAACCTCTAATTTTCGTCTCACGTCGTTTAAAATATAGAAAAATAACAGTAAAATGAATAAAATATTGTCAATTGAGCCGTTTATTTTGAAAGTGGCATAAGTCACTTTGTTTTTAAGTCGATATATTTAAGGGTTTGCGTTTTAACACGTTTAAAAATATGGATGCTAACTTTCGAGAAGATTTACTTGTATTTGTTATCTCAGGATACTGATATTTTTCTCAGTATAAATAATTTCGTATAAACATTAAACAATCACCNAAAAAGAACAATGAAAATACTTAATCAGGATGCGTTTTGCTATCACAAGAATCACGAAGGAAAAGATTGATAACTAAAAAAAATGGCAGTATTTTGATGTGGCGCGGTCTATAGGGACCGAATATACGATCAAATATTTTGTCAAAATAAATAACGACCAAATGAAAAGCGATACTTTTTATTACTTCAAACTTAATTAATTTAACTCCCCGGTGCGAAGGAAAAAGTCCCCATTGCGGAACACATTATTATGTAATTTTATATATTATATTAATTATTACATAACTATATTGTATAATTATCGGGCGTATGTCGTGCCCCCACGTGATATTATACATGGTGGCTGTGTATCCGACACCCGATAAGGGTTAATTCCCTGGTCAACAGTTCAAGCCTTATCTCGCGACGGTAAAAATCTCGGAGAAATAGTAACAGCTCAGATTGAGAAACGTGAAAGAAACGGCGGTTTTACTTTTCTTGTAATTCTAGCCGTGTGCAGCGGAGATCACTTCGCTCCTCGTCCGAGCGAAGTAGTGGGGGAACGAGTCAACCGTGGCTCGGCAGCCGGCGGTTGGTCGGGCCTAAACCAAATACAACGGAGGGATTCGTATTCCTGGCGGGTCCCTGGGCAAGCAGGGATCGATGTGTGCGAGTGTGTGTTTTACAAGACCCGCTGCGGATTAAGTAAACGCATGCCGCATGCGCCAAGTTCTCGGGCAACGGTCGCAAAAAGCCCCGTGGAAACAAAGTCGCTTATGGTAGCGCCGATAAGAAACTCGTACTTGCCGGTGGCGTGCCGCTCGCATCGCGGCCACGTGTCTTCCGATTGATGCTATTTATCGATAGAAGAAACTGGAGCACGATGCATTTAACCGGGGAACAAGAAGCCTAACTGCCCCGGTCGGTAAACAGGCTGCCCCCCCCCCCTGTCCCGTTCCAACCGGCCGTACAAATGATAACGCCGTGAAAATAAGTACTCCGCGGGAGACTTCGATGTTTCTGGGAGGGGAACAGGAAAAAAAGGGGAGCTTGCGTTTGATAGTTCGCTTCGCATCGAAGATTCAGAGACGATGTTCTTACCGGCCCCGCGGTCGTTTCCCGTCGCAGAGATTTCTAGGGGAGCAAGAAATTCGATTGGAAGATCGTTAGGGAGACGTCGACGACTTCTGTGATACACTGGAAGATTTATTCGCGGAGTTTAGAGTGTAACGAAAGCGCAACTTTGGCGAGATCAAGGCAAACGAATATGAACGTAAATGACATATGACATAACCTTGTCACGTCGCGGTGCTAACTGCCGCTTTATATTACAACGAAATCTGGTGCGATGTTTCGGTGACTTGCCGCTGCGTGTCACCACCTGTGACTTTGTTCCATTCGCTTATTAGCAGAGGACGCTAGACGAAATAATTCAGCGTGAAGGCTAGGATGAATGGATTTGTACAAAATCGGGTGAACAGATTCAGGAGGTACGTTAAAGACAATGGAAGAAGATGGAGCATTTTGGTTGATCAGCCCAGGTTTAACATAAACTCGGACCCAACTTAAACATATAAATTTAAAAAATGGATCTACAGTTTTTCCAACCTCTAATTTTCGTCTCACGTCGTTTAAAATATAGAAAAATAACAGTAAAATGAATAAAATATTGTCAATTGAGCCGTTTATTTTGAAAGTGGCATAAGTCACTTTGTTTTTAAGTCGATATATTTAAGGGTTTGCGTTTTAACACGTTTAAAAATATGGATGCTAACTTTCGAGAAGATTTACTTGTATTTGTTATCTCAGGATACTGATATTTTTCTCAGTATAAATAATTTCGTATAAACATTAAACAATCACCACTCTTCATTACGATAAAGTGACTTAAGCCACTTTCAAAATAAACGGCTCAATTACCAAAATATAAATGCCTTTCGAATCTGCGTACACAGCTGCCATTACAAGTATTTCATAAGACTCGACATTTTCATAAGCTTGCGAATATCAAAAGTCAATAAATTAATTAAAACTGCGACTGCTGTTACTCGTATGCCATAAACTATCAATACTTCATTATTTAATTAATATTTATTTGATTTATTATTAATATTTATTTATCATAATTATTACTTAATTATCGATATTATTCAGTTTAAAAAGATTACACACAATGAAATGTTAGATTTTATTACTTTCACGAAATACCGCAGCATTCGGGGCGTCCGCAGTAATATCCACACTTGACCCCAAAATAACCTTAACCCTATCGGAGAGGAAAAAAGGCGAATCAATCACGCCGCGAGCGTACGAATTATCAATTGATCGTGTACGGTACGTGCCGCGGCGTCAAGAGTCGTTCCTGCGGAATCAGTGTCGCTAATTGCGGCGGACCGATCGTCCTTGTACCCGATAACTCTTCCCTTTCTTCCGATTGGCCGGCCGGCCGGCGGCCGGTCCAATTACCGGCGGCACCGGTGATCAACTGCCCCTAGCGAACCCACCACCCATATCGATACACCGTAATTTCTATTTCTAAATTTAATTACCTACACGTCCGATCCATAGAACGCCGGACCGCGATAGCTCAGGCCTCTCGGTACATTTCACTCACGGGCTACGGGCGGCATTCTAAAGCCGAGAGGCCACGCCGCCAAGAGCTTCCTGTCCCTTCCCCCACCGGCCCTCCTTTCGCGCTGTTCCCGCGCACGCCAATTTGTAACCGTTTTGTTGATAGCTCCCGGACGGTTAATAGAAATACTGGTATATCGGTCGCGAGTTATGCCGTCGTTAGCGTCGGCGGGATATGTACGCGGCCGATTCGGTTCGCGCACGTACTCCCGTGGATCAGGTTCGGTGAAAATCCGAGCGTATTAACCACGTTCGTGCCTTCGCCAGAACGCCGCGCCGACCCGCGGTGCCGAGCGTCACGTGGACGTCGACAGCGCCCCGAGGAACATGGACGACGTGGGCGCGCACCCGGCCGTTCGTAAATTCAATTATGGAGACCCGATCCCATTACCAGGCCTGCCATCTGTAAAAACGCCTGCGTGCTGCAACCAGATTCGCGGGTGCGTGCCGCCGACACCGATTGCCCTAACTCTCGATGTCTTATAAGGCGGGACCCGACGTCATGTCACAAGGCGAACGTACGCGTCGGACGTGCGAGTCAAGTCAAATGTACTAGTCAAGTACATCAGTAGTAAGTAGTGGACATCGATTTTTCCGTCGCATTACGGTAAATTAAAGTCCACTTGAAAATCGTTTCGGACAACAGATACTAAACGATTTAGGTGTCACAGGTTAGGTTATAATCGAGGTTCTACTGGACCGTGGACACGAAGCACTAGGCGATTGAAATGAATAGCCTAATTATAACATAACCTAATAAATAAATAGCCTAATAAATTATAACCTAACCTAACATTTGTAATTATAGGAAAGTTAATGGCTATTATCTGAATTCTACTTTACCCAGCCACACCCAGCGGTGACAAGGAACCCAGCTGTGCAATTAGTGTGCAATCTACGGTGCACACGATAGGATTTATTGTACAAATCGGTAAGCACTAGCGCCGTAAGAAACTCCGCCTCTGTAGTTCTAGTTTCTCGCGCAACCTACCGGCGGATTTTTCGAAAGACGAAGTAGAAAAGAAACGGACCGGCAAGGGTGCGCGTGCGTCGTTCGACTGAAATATACGGTTTCGGTACAGCGGAACGTGACGAATGGGCCGGCGTGTCCGCGCCGGTTATTAATTGCGGCGACCAGCTCTCGTGGATACGTATTTGTCATCATTACCGGGCGCGAGCTGTAGATATGTTTGTACGCGCGATACGATTTAGAAACGTCAGGCCCGTTTATCGTTCCGGCTCGGTTTCGAAACGCGGCCGGACAGCTTTCCGCATCCTCGCGGCGACGGGATAGGCACCGGTCCCGAATACACTTTCAGTGGCCAAAAGTCCGTTTCTCGACGTAGAAAAACAATCCGTTCACTCGAACAATTCGTTTTCCTCTGAAGCGAGAACGTCGAAATTCAACGTATCATTCATTGCAAATAATTGCATGATTAATAACATCTGAAAAATTCAAAAAATTCAACATTATTTTATTATATTATTATATTTTATATCATATTATATTGTTATTATATTATATATTATATTATTATTATATTATTTTCAACTTACTAAAAAGATTAAAGAAAGAAAGAAACTTTTGTTTGGCACTTGTTTGTTGTAATTGATAAAGAAACTTTTTCTATTGCATAAAGATCAGTACAGCATTTTGAAGACGAGATCTCAAAATTTAAAGTAATGTCATTGATTTTCTGTATTCATTGTGGAACATCAGAATTTTAGTTTAACGATTTCATGTACAACAAAGGATATATTTTGAGTATTACAATCTTGTTGGAAACCTTTTTCAGCCTACCTTTGATTTACGGTTTTGACAACTTTTAAGCCAGCTTCCATAAAAATAGTTACAAATCCTAGCTCGATGGATCCGATTACTGTGGGGTGACCAATTGTTGTGCCTCCGGGCATAATTAACTATATATTTATCCAGCAAGTCATATTACATTTGTTTACTCAACAATAAACAAAATGACATAACAAAAAATTTCCATACGACTTATTCGACAAATACAAAATTAATTATGGTCTCTCCTAAGAGACTTAGAAAGTAAGAAAAATATTTTTCCGACTCGACAGTGACGCGGCCGACGTCGCGACGACTTCAACGGCCTGCGGCACCATAACCTCAACCTTCGTGGACGCCGTAAAAGCGATTTTGTCCACCGAAAGGGAATTCCGGACCGCGCGCGAAGCCAGCAGCATTTCTCACGCGGCAGGTTCGAGCATTTCGCTCGAAACTTTATCGGGCCATCGGATCGGAAAAAGCCCGAAGTACAATGTGTTCCACACAGTTTCTATCTCGGCCTAGGATCGTACCGTAGGCGATGTGCGAACGAAACCGAGCATCTTTTTGCGGCGCTGCGGCCGCGGCGATAAATCATGAGAGGCCGGGGCCTCGCGGCGAGGCCCATTTGATTGCGCGGCTAACCGCGTATAAGGGACCCGGCGCAGGGTACCCCGTCGCCACGCCGCGGTAAAAGTGACGATATAATTTTAGCCGGGCATTAGAAAGCGAATTACGAAAACCGTTCGCGGCTCGTAAAAACGAGCCGGGACGCTCGTTACGATTAATAGATTGAATTTAACGCGCGTTACGGCGAGCCCCGATAATTCGGCGGCCAAATGGATATTCCGTGTCCGACCGAGGGAGCTGTTACGCCGGCCCCTCCCGGCGTCCCCCGGCTGAAATAAGACGCTAATTTAATTATGCCGGGCCGGCGCGCCGCTGAACAACGATTTTATTGAGCCGTCGCCGATAAATGCTCCGTTACGCTCGCGGACCGACCGCCATTAACGCCGCCTTACACTTATTATGAAAACGCGCGTGCGCTCGCCGATTATTCCGCGCCGAATGCCGCGCGCGCACGGATGCTCGGGATTCCCGGCATCGTTGCCCAACGAATAGCGACGCGGTAACTCCGCCGATTATGATCGCGTTTGGCAGATATTTTACGTCCGAAGAATGCCTGCGAGAAGGATTTTTCGTTATTCGAAAGGCAAGGCTCGAAATTTTGCGGAAAATGTCTCACCGATTTGACCTTGAAAATTATGACGCTCCAATTACGCTGAAACGTTGCGGATGGCTTAATTTTGCATCGAAACGATGTCTGCGAGAAGGATTTTTGGTTATCCGAAATATTGCAAATATTACGGTAATGTCACTCTCTGCCTTATCGATGTATGAATTTCAGAAATAAAGAAATAAATTTTCTTTTCACTTTTTGGGACTGACTCTTTTGTAGCGACGTCATTTTTGGGTATAAAAGCTAGGATAAAATGACATTATTTCGAACTTACGGTTCCGAATGTCCTACACCAGACGTCTTTAAGACGTCTTCGGGCTATGGCGGAGATAATTAGCCCTATTTCACGCAAATCGTCGAATTAATACGAATTGACTGGGAAACACAAGATAACACGTGTAACAAATAAAATAAATGATACTGTTTCGCTTTAATCATAAAGAATTGTTTATACATTTAGGGAAGGAAAAGGAGATGCCTTATACAGAGACAAGAGGATTTAGGGTTAAATTTAAGTAACTTTTAGATTAAGCCTGTATCAGGTGTGGCTAAAATCTTTTGAAATTATTCGAAATGATTTTTTCTTATGACAAAAATGACAATTGCAAAACAGATTTATGGAGAAAGGAGAAAAATGTGGTTTAGGCTCGGGTCATTTCTACATTATTTCTATTTTAGATACCACTCAGTTATGGTTAAAAGTTTGAACATGAGTTTTTCTTTTGACACAAATGACGGTTGCAAGAAGTACTTTTGGGAAAGGGTGGAGCATAAAAAGAGATAAGAGGATGTTTGGATCTGGCTTATGTCTAGGTAATTTCTAGGTTATGTCTGCGCCAGGTGTGGCTAAAATTTGTTGAAATAGATAGCAAAAGAAGCTTCATTCTGAAGCAAGGGTAACTTTCGATCTGAATAATGACTTGATTATTTTTAGGTTAGATCTAGCTTATACCTGCGTCACGTTGGCAAAGTAGGGAACGCGATCAGATGGGTAAACAATTTTTACGGCAGTCTAAAATCTTCGTTGCGGTGTTTAACGTTCAATGGTCGATAAATGCTCGCGGCAAGTAGATCGTCGAAATTGGAACGTACCTCGTCGGAGAACGTCTCAAACCGAGGTTGCACGTTTGATAGAACGGGACCGGCCTCGCAACTCACCGGTAACGAGGCGACTTTGCGAAACAAAAGATCCTGGTCCAGGCTGGTGGACATAAGCCTCGGCTGCACTTCTACGAAACAGCATCTCCGCAGAAACTCCTCGCGGCGTGCTCATAACACACATCATATCTCGCGATCTTTACGAGGTAGCTGATCATTTGACGACGGCCGGTACGAGCGAAATAGTGTTGCAACGCTGTACGCTGCTACAAAGTTTTCGCCTCCTGCCTATGAGAACGGACGTTCTACTTGCGTGGTCGGGAATTAGTCTTACAAAACTAATCGGCGATCGGCGCGCGATAACCTAAACGATGCGTTGAAAACTTTATTTACACTGCACTCGCCGCCAGCGCTCGCGGTCGAAAGCCTGACAACACGCGAGTTTTATCATCGAGGAGTTCCGAAGTGCGAGTTCGAAATTTATCGAAATGTCGCGAGACGCGAGTGCGATACGTTGATACGTTGAAAAGAATATTTTTGCGGGAGTAAAGATTCAATGGAAAATATCTGTGTATGTGGTGAGTATTTATGTGGACGGTTATCATAGGTTATGTCGATAAATCGACGGAATCGATTTCTATAAATATAAACAGTAAATAGCGGTACTTATGTTGACCACGGAGTGACTGCATATAATTGTTTCTTTTTTAATATTTTTGTAGTATTTTTATAATTTTATAATATTTTTATAATATTTTTCTAGTACTTTTATATTTTTATAATATTTTTATAATATAATATAATATTAATCAAGTTTTTGCAATGGTTTACAATTATTCTTTGTTAACTAAATCAATTTTAAAACTTAATCAATGAAGAAATAACTTTACAAATACAAGATCTCAAAAATGTTCGAAATGTCGGAAATCTTTGTTTAAATTTGTATCTTCTTTATTCAAGCAAACATTACAATAAAAAATTATACAAAATTCAAACACATCTAATCTTGTGAGTTAAAATAGTCTTCTAATGAGAACGTTTTTATAGCATCAAGAATTGTAAAAGAAAAAGTCAGAAGATAACAACAATAATAGTCCTTGATACTAATTATCCTTATAAAAAAAAATCACGAGAACCGATTTTTTCAACGTACAACAAAACGGTTGCTCTATCGTTCGAACAATTAAAAAAGAAACATCCTCCACATGATCGCAGAAAAATGGCTGTCGTTGTCACGTGACTCGAACTAAAAAGAACAACGTCGGCAATGCAGAGAGGCAGCCGGATCGGCAAAGAACACGTTCGATCTTTCCACGCGGCGCGCCGATTTCTTCATAAAGCTGTCGCGATGTTTCGACGACGTACGGCCGTGTCTGACGCCAAGCAAATGAGTAATTTATTGCGCACACGGCCATCGATGGTTCCGTTGATATTTTTTTTCTGTCGCCGGTTCGCAGCCGCGCGTCGATCGGGAGCCCACGGCGTCGCAGGCAGCGCCCTCTATCTACGGCCACTAAACAGCTTTTCAGGTTTAGGAGCGAGCCCGTGTCGCGTTTCCCACGGCTGCAGTGTAGCGGGAGTTGCATACATACACTCGCATGCAAGAAACCAACCGCCATAAAATGTTCTTTACGCATTTCGCAGCTCCCGCTTAGGCGAACGACGAAAGGGAGCTCGCAGGAGCGGAGCGGAGCGTTCGCGATTTTTCTATCGGACCGCGGCCGTTCTCCGATGCGAGAGCCGCGGCTTTATATTTATTTCGTGTGGGTCCGGCGGAGCCCCCGGAGGAATTGCGCTCGCGTCGATGCGAGGCCTCTTAGAACGCCGCCGCCGCCGACGCCGACGCTGAACTTTCGGTCTCGTCTCCTCTTTCGTCCCGGAGCCATTGCGCAACCGAAAGAAAGAACGTTTAACGGAAAGAATATAAAACCTGGGAAATATTCGACACTTTCCAATGGGCTCGTGTTTCGCACCGCCGGTGTCTAAGCCTACCAGTGTCCATCGCGCGAATAACCCATTTCATGTTTCTCGTTTAACAATTATTGAAATTACAGGTCGTTTCATTTATTTATTCGAGCATATTTTCTGATGGAGTTCGCACAAAATCTAAGTAAATTCGATCGTGTCATTTTGCAGAGGAAAATCATTCCACTTGCATTCACACATCCGTGACATCGATGGTATTTTTTTTTAGGACTATGAAAAATACTTTCCATTTATTGGAGCATACGACAGATATTTTCACATGTCGAAATATTTAGAATTCCACCGTCTGCATTGTTCTGGACAAGTGCCTCAACTTACTAAATGGACGAAACTGTTTCGGGACAAATGATTGACACATTTCTTTGCAATTTCTATTTTTATTTCCGTTGGAAATCAGCTGCTAGTTGTCGCGGTACGATCATCCGTCAGGAGGTGGCAGTCAAAGATATCGTTCCAGCCCTTTACAGCTGTCCGAAATCTGAAAACTGCGACAGACGTTGCACGGTACCGTAGAATCGACTATTGCAGAGGACACGGCCACGCTGGACCAAAACAGCAAAAACAGTCACAAAGAGGAGACGTTTCCCTTGAAAATGGGCAATTGATCATCGCGATACGACCATCCTTTACAAGATGGCTGCCGTTTGAAGTTTCCGAAAGGATTTTCACCCTGCTTCTCGTACGTGTCGGGGAAGCTTTAAATCCAGCAACTGCTGATTCGTTTTTCAGAACTCGATAAAAAGAAATCGTACAACGATGTATCTGGACTCGTTGGAAAGATCTCGCGAAATGTAAACGAACAGTTTTACTCCCGATGTTAGAAAACATTTTTCAAACTGTCCACAGTTCTTCGAATATCGAAAACTGTGATGGACAGTGCACGGTCCTGTAAAAACCGTGGCTGCAAAGGGCACGGTCACGCTAGACCAAAACGGTAAAAACCCTCGCAAAGAGGAGGCTTTTCACTTGAAAATGAGTTATCGATTATCATGATACGACCATCCGTTACAAAATGGCAGCCGTTTGAAGTTCCCGAAGGCATTTTACCCTGCTTCTCGTACGACGGCTGCAATTGTTTAAATTAACTCGTTATTGGTTAAACACGATTGGTCTACCGAGTCAGCCATTTTGAAATTATATTTCTCCAGGCGCGCGACGTTCACTGGATTCATGGATTTCCTGTACGGTGCACGAGCCGTGTCTGGTAGCAATAGCCTGGCGAAAGATTTCGAAAATGGTCGACTCTCATCACTTTTCCTTTCACCCGTCCATAGTTTCGCGAACGATCGTGCAACGACAGGAACGCGAAGTCGCGTGATCCCCCACGCGGCTAATTGAATGAGATACGCGCAAGAACTCGGCAGGCCGGGCGTCATGAACGTGTCCATGATTGAATTTGACGAGAAGCAGTGCATATAAACCTTGCGGCGCGCAGTCGGCGGCCGCTAACGACCAATAAAGCATATAACTTATACTTCGTGCACAATGCAGCCATGATTTTTATGCTCGCCACAATATATGGAGAAGATTGAGCCATCAAGTGTGCTGCGCGCCGTGCGCGAGCATAACTCCGGGATGCGTTTTTAACTTCGCCCGAACATTTACGGTGCCCCGTCCGGGGCCCTTTTAAACGCGGCCCGCTCGTAAGCGATCAGTTTTTATGCGTCACTCTTCGACAAACATTTACAATATTCGCTCGCGGATCGCGGAACATCGAAAACGTTTCACGTCACGGAAGCTCCTTTCGATTAGATTTGTTCCATTACTTTCCAAACCGTTTTAATCGAATGTCCGCCATTTTACCACACCGCGATATAACGCTGTTCTCAATTTTTTTTTGTTTACATTGCCACCGTTTTGAAATCCACGCGAGGTTAAGGTACCCTGTTGCTGCGGTGACATGCTTTACTTGCACCTTTTTTACACAGTTTCTTTTTATTCCTTGTGAGAAAACGAGTCTTGCACGACTTTTTCTAAAGAATAATGCATTTTAAAGTGTGAAAAAAAACGAGCGAGAATTGAGAACAGATATGAGAATAGATAACCTACAACCAACGCGTGCAGCTTGAAGACGAATATTAGATCGCGATGGAGTTGGCCTACCTTGTATATTCGATAGATGGCGTCACCATAGCATTACGTCCGTTCTCAATGAACTTCGTGCCGCAGTAATTATTACTGCGGCACCAATCGAGCGTACGTAACGTCGAGGGCTTAATTATTTTGTTGAAACTACCAGAAAAATCTCTTTTATTATTTTTTAAACGATGCAGGTATTTAAGAAAGAACCTTCGTAATCAACCGAAAGCAGTGCGTTGGATGTACAATTATTCAAGCAACGATTTTAATCTATTGATTAATCTATTAGTCTATTGATATTAACATATGAAAAATGTAAAAATGATTGAACAATGTTTCCATTTCCTTGGCTAAAAGGTATTCCAATCGTATTACAGCAATTTTCTTAAGACAAGAAATCAATCTCTAGGCATTTTAATCTTAGCAGAAAAATTTGTAGTTTTTAGCGCAGGTACATCCTTTTTAACTGGTACACCCGCGATAATGGGTACACCTCTAACCTATACAGTTTCGTTCCGAATGCATATAAATCCGCAGTCTGATCGTGGAGCACCGTCTCGCGATTCCGAAACGATTGTTATTGAAAAAAAGCACCGCTGGAACACGAGATCTCCTTTCGAAACAAGGAAACGACAAATCCTTGTTGCACGCCGCATGGAAACGACGCTACTCATGTGCAACCTTGATATCCTCTGTCGTGCACCGAGTAACTGGTTAAGGTAAAGCTAATAATCGCAGACACGACGACTCGCGTGTACCTTTCTACAGCCGTGCCAGTGAACTGATTTCCAAGAGCTGCATCATTGTGCAACTGAATTCGTTCGTTGGAACCTTGGCTACTGTAAAACACGCCTCCCCGTTTATGCTCTGTTCACACTTGCTTTTCACGTCTATGTCGTTCCGACGGTCTCGTGGCTCGCGCTTTACACCGCGCAACGGTTTTACAATTTTACTTTCATTTTACAATAAATAATTTTCCGCCGTGAAACACAAAAAAAATGAAAATAAATATAATGTAATTTATTTTCAATATAAAAAGTTAATACATAATACGCTTGCAAGCATTTAAAAATTATAAATTATGCATAAGCTTTGATAAGTGATCTCTGCTCGTTGAAAAATATCTGCAATAAATAATTTACGTTTATCGTGCAAAAATATTGTCGTTTGAGATTCTTTTAGACGCATTTAGACCGCGGATTTTCTGCATTTATGGTAAAATTGAATAAATTAAATACAAAGCAGCGAAGATACAAGAAAAACGCGAGGATATTGTTATATTATTTTCACTCTGTTAAAATTATTAAAAAAAGGAATACATTCTTGTCTGTCTCCTGGTATTTGCAACTGACGAAGAAGCATTTCATTTTTCAACGAGC